TATTTATACAATGGAATACTATTCAGCCATAAAAATGACAACATAACACCATTTGCAGCAACATGGATGTCCCTGGAGAATGTCATTCTAAGTGAAGTAAGCCAGAAAGAGAAAGAAAAGTACCATATGAGATCACTCATATGTGGAATCTAAAAAAAAAAAAAGACTAATGAACTTACATATAAAACAGAAACAGACTCACAGACATAGAATACAGACTTGTGGTTGCTTGTGGGGAGGAGGGCAGGAAGGGATAAACCGGGAGATTTGCAGATACTGACAGGTATATATAAAGTAGATAAACAATTTATACTGTAGAGCACAGGGAAATATGTTCAGTATCTCATAGTAGATTACAGTGAAAACGAACATGAAAATGAATACATGTATATCCATGTATGACATTGTGCTGTACACCAGAAATTGACACAACATTGTAAATTGATTATAACTCAGTAAAAATTTTAAGAAGGAACTTACTACAAAATTATAGGCATCAAAACTGTGGTACCGGCATAAAGACAGACGTAGAGACCAATGAGATAGAATAGAGAGCCCAGAAATAAACCCTCACAAATGGTCAAATGATTGTCAACAAGGGTCCCAAGATGATTTATGGAGAAAATACAGCCCTCAACAAATGACGTTGGGCAAACTAAACATCCATATGCAAAAGAATGAAGTTGGGCCCCTACCTAACACTATATACAAAACTTGATTCAATACGGTTCACAGTTTTAATGTAAGACCTAAACCACAAAACTTTAAGAAGAAAACGTAAGGACAAAAGGTTCACAAGATTGGATTTGGCAATGATTTCTTGGATATGACATGAAAGACACAAGAATGACCAAAAAAAATAGGCAAATAGGTTTCAGAAAAACTTTTAAATGTTGTACAGCAAAAGACACTATCAATGGAGTCAATTGGCAATCCACAAAATGGGAGAAAATATTGACAAATCGTATATCTTATAAAAGAATAATATCCAGAAAAACACATAGAACTCCTAAAACATAACAATTAGAAACAAACAAACAACATGATTCAAAAATAGGCCCAGGACTTAAATAGATATTTTTCCAAAGAAGATACACAAATGGCCAATAACTACATGAAAAGATACTTAACATCACTGGTCATTGGGGAAATGCAAATGAAAACTACAATGAGATACGACCTCATACCCTTTAGGATGGCTACTATCAAAAAAAAAAAAAACACAACAAAATGACAAGTGCTGGTAAGGTTGTGGGGAAATCAGAACCCTTGGTACACTGTTGGAAGGAATGTGAAATGGCACAGCTGTTGTGGAAAGCAATAGGGTGGTTCCTCAAAAAATTAAAAATGGAATTACCATACGATCTAGCAAGTCCACTTCTGGGTATATATGCAAAAGAATTGAAGGCAGAGTCATGAAGAAATGTTTGTACACACATGTTCGCGGCACCATGATTCACAATAACGAAAACATGGAAACCACCCAAGAGCCCACTGATGGATGAATGGATAAGCAAAATGCGGTCCCCACACAAAGGAATATTATTCAGCCTAAAAAGGAAGGAAATTCTGACAAGGCTGCAGTTTATGAAACATTATGCCAAGGGAAATAAGGCAATCACAAAAGACAAATAATGTACGAGTCCACTCAGATGAATCACAGAGACAGAATAGAATGGTGGCTGCCAGGGGCTGGCGGGAGGAGGAAGTGGGGAGTTACTGTTTAACGGATACAGAGTTTCAGTTTTGCAAGGGGAAAGAGTTCTGGAGATGGATAGTGTGATGGTTGCACCAGAAATATGAATGTGCAGTTGATCCTTGAACAACACAGGTTTGAATTGCATGGGTCCATTTATATACAGGGTTTTTTTTCCAAAAAATCTGTACTGCAGGACTACCCAATCCATGGTTGGTTGAATCCAAGGATGTAGAACCATGGATATGAATGGCCAACTAAAAGTTATACATGGATTTCTGACTGTGTGGGGGACAGTTCAAGGGTTGGCTGCACTTAATGCCATTAAACTGTATGCTTAAAGTGGTAACTTGCATTTTACCACAATTAAAAAGTGGAAAAAAATTCACAACCAAGAAAGATGATGATAGCATATTATTAAGTTAAAGTTCAATTTATGAATAGAATTCTGTTATATTTGTAATGGATTTTTAAATATATGTGGAGGCATATGCTCAGATATGAAATGAAAAAGAGCAAAATATTGTTAGTGGTCATCTCCAGGTTTTGTTTCTGTGTATTTTCTGTGATAAACATGACTTGCTTTTGTAGTAATAACACAATACACTGTTTTTCAAAAGAAGAAGGAAGAGGAGGGGGAGGAGGAAGAGAAGCAGCAGCAACACAAAGTTTCTTCAGGCTAAAAGTTTCTTTGATATCAGAAAAGAAAGGTAAAAACAGGTATGGCCCCACATGAAAGATAAAGTGTAACTTTTTCTCAGAAAGAAA